TGAAGTGTCAGGTGGTGACCACTGGAAAGTGTGGCTCTGGATCAGATGGATCTTGAGCAGATCCAGCGTAACAATTGCTCTGTTCTTGTGTTTAAGCATGTGTGAAATCCTGGCCCCACAGAAATCAGTGGGAGATTTGTTTACCAATTTCAACAAAACCATAATATTACCCTCTGCAGTTGGGATCTTACACTTCCATATCACTGTTTCAGCCCCAGGCTGAGAGAAGGCTATGGAACTGAAAACCAAAAAGTGAATAGGTTGCAAAATTTGTTCATGGGGACTAATGCTACTGAGCTTTGAGAACTTCTGAACCACTGGGCTGAGAAAAATGCAATCTGTTTTCCTTCATTCTGTCATAGTTCTTCACCCAAATTGATTTTTAAAATCAATATTCTATTCATCAGTTAGCTCATTTTCATGATGAACTGGGATGGGATCAGAGGGGACGATTAATGCATATTTATGCATATGTGTAGACACACACATACATACATATATACAACTGCAAAGCCTGAATCTTCCCTGGGTACACAGATCAGGCTCCATTCCATGTGTCTGTGGAGGCCACAGGTTCGGAGAGAGTCAATTTTCTCCCCTCCAAGATAGTAAGACATATACACTGCTTTACACAGGCTTTGGGACCCATTAATCTCCACTGTCACTGAAATACCCTTTAACTTTCATGTACTGTAGCCAGATCCAGGATGTGATTTCTTTTGAATCCTACCTGCTGCTTAGCTGAATTGCATGCAAACCATTTCATGGCCTTTACTTCATTGTAATGCAGCACACTATAGAAGCCTTTTGGGGGACATAGATAGACAAATAGTATATCCATCTAATGGTGTCTTGCAGAAGCACATTTTCATTTGACTTTGTCCAATAAAAATAATGACTTAGGACAATTTTGTCATAAGAATCATGGAATCACACAGTTGATAATGACAACATGAGATCTTGGCATAACATTTATTATTTAACAACCCAGAAAAGCTGCACTGTGTGGTACTGTTAACAAAAGTGAGCCCATGGAGGAAAGATAATTTGTTAGAGCCTGTCAAAAAGTCATGCCTGATTGCTTTCTATGATGAGATGACTGGCTCTGTGGATGTGAGGAGAGCAGTGGATGTGATATACCTTGACTTTAGCAAGACTTTTAATATGGTATCTCACAACATTCTTGCAAGCAAGCTAAGGGAGTCCTAGTTGGATGAATGGACTGTAAGGTGGTTACAAAACTGGCTGGATATTCAGGCTCTAAGGGTAGTCATCGATGGCTTGATGTCTAGCTCATGAGCAACGCGTGTCCCTGGGGGCTGGGGGGGCACAGCGACAACCTGCAGGAGGCAGCGACTGTGGCGGTGGCGATGGCAAGTGGGGAGCTCCTGCAGATGACTGCAGCAGTGTCAGCAGCGAGGGAGGCGGTGGCGAGCGCCGACTGGTGACCACCCATAGACGCTGCTGGCTGCATCGGCAACGGCCACTGGCGATCAACGATCGCCTGCAGATGCTGTCGGCAGTTGAGGGGGATGGCGAGCAGCGACCACCCACAGGCACCACCAGCAGAGTCAGCAGTGCTTTTCTCAGGGGTTGCAACGCCAACTTCAGGGGGTGCATGTGCATGGGCAACTGGTGCCTCTTGACTCGGGGGGGGCACCAGATCGCTGATGGGGGTGGGGGTCCCCCAGCTGCTGATCGCCAGGGGTGCATATGTACCCCCTACGTGTCACCAATGTGCACGTGCACGCATGTGCACCCCCTATGCATTGCCAATGGTCTAGCTGGTAGTCAATAACAAGTGGAGTGCCCCAGAGGTAGTTTTGGGCCAGTTTTTTTTCAATAACTTTATCAACAACCTGGAAGATGGGAATGCACCCTCAGCAAGTTTGCAGATGACACCAAGCTTGTGGGGAATAGCAAATGCTGTGTTAACTGGCACCTTACAAGCCAGCATGCTCTGTTAACCGGCATGCCGGCTTGTAAGGGAAAAGTAAAACTGGAAGTGCCCACTGTGGCACTTCCGGTTTCACAGAGCCCCCACAGCCCGGGGGAAAGCAGCCTGTGCTGCCAAGTCCCTACAGCCCAGGGCCATAGCAGGCTGTGTGAGTCCCCCCTCCTGTCCCTCAGGGCCTGCAGGAGGAGCAGCGATGTGGCAGGAGGGGCGGCAACACCCCAGACACGGCAGGACAGGCAGCAGCCTGAACAGGCAAAGGTAACTGTTCGGGCTGCTCTGTTACCTGGCATATTTTGTTATCCGGCACCCTCCATTCCCCATGGGTGCCGGATAACAAAGCTTTTACTGTAGATACACTGGAGGGCAGGGCTAGGATTCAGAGAGACCTAGGTGGTTTGGAGCTAGACTGATCTCAGTGGTGGCAGATGATGAAACAAAAAGCAATGGTCTGAAGTTGCAGCAACTTCATATTTAGGTTAGATATTAGGAGAAGCTCTCTCACTAGGAGGGCGGTAAAGCACTGGAGCAGAGTACACAGAAAGTTTGTTGAATCTCCATCCTTAGAGGTTTTTAGGACCCAGCTAGCCAGGATGGTCCTGCTTTGAGCAGAGGGTTGGACCTCTGCTTTGAGCAAAGGATGGTCCTCCTGAGGTCTCTTCCAACCCTGATTTTTGATAATTCTATGATTTCCAGAAAATGATTATGGTGACAAATCAGTTACTATGGAGATAACCCCAGAGAAATGTCTGAAATTAAAACAAGAGTCCAAAGATTTACTGCATGACTCTTCATACCTGTCTTTTAATGTTTGTAACACTAACAGTAGCTTATCTTTAGTTAGGGTTACAGAAAACACAATGTTAATAATGAAGGACTGTAAGATTTGGAATACAGAAAAAAATCATGATTATTTCCCAAGGGATTTTAAGTCAGGGCCATATACTGCAAACATTTGTGACCTTGAGGTAAGCTTACTCCTTTGAAATCCTACTGAGTTTAAATCCATTTCTGAGCATTCTAGTCTTTAGCATTTCTGTTGGCAAAGGGCTTGCATGCATTGCCTTATGTCTGACAAAAATTCAAGGGCATTACCGAGGGAGGAATATCAAAAGGCTGAGGAATGATTGGCATTCATTTGTTGTGGTCCTAGCTACAGGAGTCTGCAAGATTTTAAAGCCAGTATGAAAATTTCTAATGGGAATGATGCATTGTTTTCATAATGAAAGGTCTCCAATTGGAAAAAGGTCAAAAAGATTAAAATACTGGTAACTTTTTTAGCCTGGGAATTGTGTTTTTGCACAGTTGCTAGAGATCCTACCAGGTTATGAATACCTTTATTCATGGGAACACTCCTGCTGA